AACTAATTCTTATAATTTTCACAGTCTAAGCGTTTTTTTTTTCAATTTTGCCTATTCTTCTTTAAATATAGTAATCATTTAATTGCATTAACATTTATATAGCTTTTATACACATCTCACTAAAGTGAATAGACTTATTAATGACTTATGGAAAATATAATAAATAATTTGAATAATGCTTTCCTTATTGTATACAATTTTATATAGCAAACGTTGCCACTTATCAAGGTTTTAACATACAACGAATTAAAAGGTACAAGCTAAGCAAAAAGCTTTCAGTATTATATATCTATTTGAAAAGTTCTTATTGTTGTAAAAAAAGGTATGAAACAAAAAATGTCTAGGTAAATTAATTTTTTTATTATATTCCGTGTAAATTTTTTTCGCTTGCAATAATACTCTAATTTACACAATACTCACAAGCCTTTTCATAAGTAATATGGAGTGTAGAGTACAAGGAGGATCATCTTATAAGGGGCGAAAGTTGAAAAAGTGTCCTAATATTTATTGAAAATAGAGGTTCCAAAACCCACCACAATAGCGCTGGCGTCTGAAAAACTACGATATGAAGATAGCTGTTGTGAACGCAGTGAAGTCAGCTGAATTAAAATATTTAAAAAATTTCATGATTAGAGTAGTTAGTAAAATGCCAGTATACAAAACCTCAACTATTTACGTAGTACAAAACAAAGCGGATTGGTCGGTCCTTGTTTATTTCTCCATCTTATTCTAATTAATTTTGGCGTTTTTTTTTTAATTTATCCTGTGCTACTGCAGCGCCACCTTTATTGGACGCGTTTTTAGGGACACTTTTCATATAGAGATGGTCCCCCTTCTCTCTACACTCCATAGTAAGTAATAAAAAAAATTAGAATCAATTAACATCTAGTATACAACCATAAAATACGTGTATTTTTAAGCGATCGTACATTTAATTACATAAATAACTTTATTTCAAAATGAATTATACATTGAAATAAATTACGTTCAAAATTGTTATTGCGTTAGATAAAACTTATTTAATAAATGGTCGCTTATTCGACCGGAAAGTATATACATATCAGTACAAAATCGATAGCTCGGGAAGTCATTGTATGTAAATAGAGCATGTGAAATTATTATTACAATTATAACTTGGTCATTACCATAGAAATTGCTTTTCTAAATGAAACTCAATTTACCTATGTTTCGGTGAGTGGTTAGTGTTGTCGGTTCGGATCGCTATGGACAGTGAGTATCGATGAATTTTTAAAAAGTTAGACACGGGACGGAAAAATCGATACTGACTACAACGGTACGGCTGGGACGATAATTGTTTTAGTACGATTCCAATTTAGGCTTACTTAAATATTCGCGTCAGCCTTGCTTGGAATAATTTTTAGGGAACTTCCTTTTCACTGGGCGGGTTGTAGCCTTTCTTAACTGCCTAATGATTGAGGAATAGTCAATTATTAATTTATTAAAATATTTTAGACATTGCCCTTGAAATTTGTTTTAGGACGTGGTTTTATTAAAAAAGTACAGTTCATTAAAATAGTGTTATAAATAAAATTCGTCAGAAGCTTTACAATAATTTTATACTTACTTTTATTAATACAAGTGATTTTATGACAGAAAATTAATATGTCACTTAATACATGTATTTATTAATTCTTTTATATGTACGAAACAATATTATGCTTTATACTAATTTAAACAAAATTACTTTCTATATTAGGTACATAAGTCAAGGGCCAATATATTAAAGGTGAATTGCATTCTATAGTTAATATAAATGGTTTGACTTTACTGAACACTCACAATGCATATTATTGCAATGGTAAATTATTTTCAGCACGCGTGCATTTTACACCGACAGCATACAGCGTGTTTTAATTTTACATATTTGTTTATAATAAGAGTTAAAAATCTTTTCTCTTATCTAATAATGGTATAAATTATTTTTCGTGACGACATTCTCTATAACAAATACACAAAATCGCATTTATTTATTGAGCAATAACTTACGAAATAATTGTAAAGGACTCTCAACATTTGATCAATCAAACTGTCGCCATCTTTGTACGCAAACTTATACAATCCTTAAAGCAATCAATAAAATTATACCTTTAATTTTTTTTGTACATTTAATTAAAAGAAAACTTGTAAATTGCTTTTACCGTATTTTAAATTTATCGAATTGAATTATTGGTTTTGTAGATAATTTGTAATCTTCTTTTTGTAAATATAAACATTAAATGTTAACAATAAGTCACATAAATCTTAAATATATATGAATCCAATATTCAATAATATTTCGAAATAGAAAATACATCACGAAAAATTTTGCAAAATACTTTTTTATTTCACAACGCTTTATAAAAATCTCTGACGCTCTTCGCTCGCCCGAAATTTCGGAAAGAACTTTCTAAACTAGCATTTTCACGACCATTTTATAAGCGAGAAAGCTTTGTGACCACATATCGAGTAAAATTATTCGTCTAACGTCCTCTCCATACAGTTCATATCAGCTCGTGGTGCACTTTATATGCTCTGCTGAACCCAAAGCCGCCTCTTCAGGAACCCTGTCATCTGAAAGAAGATAGGACATTATTATTATATTATTTTTGGGAAAAAATACTATAAAATTAATTTCTTCATAGGGCTTCAAAAGCAAATATTATTTTAAATTATTAAATATTAAGTAATATATATTAAAATATTAAGTAATATATATTGATGCCGCTTAAATTAACTGAATTTTAAATAATAATAATAATATTTTTAGATACATATTTTAATTTCCAATCATTACGATGACATAATTGTAAATGGGTATGGAATAATATATCTTTTAAATTTATAACTTGATATTAACAATATTTAGTCGCTGTGTGAGTTAAGACAAACTTTACTCTCAGATTGTATAAAGGAAATGCCAGTCAGATTTCTAGCTTCCAATGGACAGCGTAACTATTTGTATAACCCAGATGAACATAACCTGAGACGAAGAGCAGCGTAAAAGTGTAAGTCATCTGTTACAATATCACCTTAGCAATAAACCAAATTACAGTATTAATATGTACCTACACGTGAGCAGAGAAAATGTACCTGTAACTAATATCTCCGAAAATATTGATGTTAGATAAAAAACTTAATATCGTAATAAATAATAAAAAAGTATAATGTAAGCTTATTTTATTCACATAAATGAAGAAAAAAGAGGTTTTATTTTACATTTAAGCGAAAGTGAATGATTGAATAAAACGAAAATTACGGGTTTTATCACGTTTACTTAGGCGTTAAACGTCCTAATGTCATAGTTAAATTGGGCTACCGTCAGCATTCAAATATTTTTTTTCCAATGTAGGCAGTACGAGTTAACGGTATCTTGAAGATATATACTTGGATTTGGATTCAATTTTATTCCCATGATCCTGAGCAGGTGATAGCACGTAACCATCTTTGACAGCAGTTTTGAATTCAATTCTATGGAGCATGCTTTAGACGAGCTAGGACAAAACGTGTGACGGAGAAATCCAATGAGGGCTAATAATTTTCTGCTCACCAGATGTCGCTAGTGACACTGAGGTAAAGTTTTTTGTTACGCATTGTCATTTAATTAAGAAGTTGTTTTTAGTAAAAGTTTATCAGTTTCTAGAATATTATATTATTACACAAAACAATGCCTCAGTGCTTTGCTCCTTAATTTTTTGCAAATTTTCAACTTTTTTTTTCTACTTTTGTGAATATCTGTTGTTCGGTGTATTTATTTTTAATATAATTAATATAAAATATAACTAATAGTACAGAAACATTAACCTTTACATTTTCCAAACAAATTAACTTCCCCGCTATGAAATCTGTCAAATATTATACCTCAATTTAAAGTGGCGCCGCCCTGGTGGCAGAAAGTCGTAGATGCCCTCATTGTGCTTATCTATATGAAGTTTGTGCTTACAGCAGAACCACCATTATCCAGAGTCGGCTTAGAAATCTGGTGTACAGATCACAAAATTGCACGGCGTGCATAATGACAGAACGAGGACGTTCTTATGTATAAAATATATAATTCTGTTGCAAAAATACCTAGTTGTTTGTCATTTATTGTTTTGCAGCGAAATTTCAACTTACATTTTTGTTTATATATTTTTTTTAAATATAAGTACTGTAACATTTATGTCTATAAAATAATAAGGCTGAGAAATAGTTCGTATTTTATTAAGCAAGCAGTTATATTTTTTGAGATATGAATACTTTTGTAATCGACCCGTTTTCATTGCTTACAAAGTACATTAATAAGTATTTTCTTACCTTAAAATGCTGTGAACATTTACATTGAAATCTTTTTCCCTTTAAATTATTGAATTACTTATACCTACTTTCTATTAAAAAAAATGAACTTGAAGTATTTTAAGATATATAAGCATAAATGTGGTCACTTTAAATGGTATCAATATTTTTAGTGTTAAAGCATTATAAATAAACAATTTATATTGATAATTTTAAAGCAACGGAAGCCCTATTGAAAAAAAATAAGGATTCGGACCGCGAAACTCAAAAGTCGTGGGTTTGAATTTGCCATTTTGACTATTGGTTAAAGGAAGCATTGGTTAGTGTAAGCAACACTGCTCATATTTTTTTAAAAAATAAAGCAAATGTAATTACGCTTCAGCAAATAAAATAGTATATTTTTATAATTTAATTACAACCTTTGTACAAGTGCACATCGTGTATAGGAAATGCGTTTTGTGATTATGGACTATTAAAGCGTATAGTTTAATAAGCTCGGTTCAGATTACGTTATAATATATACAATACACATAGCTAATGTTATATAGCGCAACAATAACGCTCAACATTCATTATAATGGACACGTCCACACTATGCTTTACTATATAGTATTGCATAGTTTATATATGATGAAATGTGCTTTTATTATGTAGCAGAATAGTATAGCGTAGTCTAAACGAGCTTAAAGCTCAAGCCTTCAAACGTACCTCTGTGCGGTAAGTTTCAGTTAGGCGTTCACGAATGACGACTTGGTCCTGTTAAGATAATTTTCGTATGAGACTGGTACTTTTATAAATATAATTTATGTTTATATAATTATGTTCTAAGGATGTTCTATATTATGTAAATTGTTGTTGATATATTCAGGGATTTAGTTCGTTATTGTACGTGTTCAAATGTACAGTGTACAAATGTTAAATTAAATTATTTTTACACTAGCGACTCTATCTCGACCCGACTGTTTTTTTTTTTTGTAAAAAAGTCATTAAAATCAATGATTATTTTTTTATTAAATAAGTTATACTTCAGAAGTTTTCCCAAATAATTAAATTTGGACAAAAATTCCAAGCCGACTTCAAAGAAATAATAATTAATTTTTTTTTTACAATTAACTTTAATATGAAGTATTAAGAATAATTCAAAAAATATTAATCAGACCTTGACAAAATGTATATGGAACCACACGAGAAGCACCAGCTTTCAAATAAAAGGAATCATCCAAATCGGTTCACCCAGAAAAAAGTTATGAGGTAACATATAAAAAAAGCATACGGCCGAATTGAGTACCTCCTCCTTTTTGAAATCGGTAGAAAAGAAACAAATTAATAATGTCCTAGTAGTAAATGTACGAAGTACGTTTTTACTTTTTGTAAAAAGTTTAATTATTGGATAAATTGGTTGAACACTATTAGAAACATGTGGTAAAATTAAAATTTTTGTACAACCGACTTCAGTATAAATAAAATGAGAACATCATCAATGCGGTAGCAGTCAATTAAATACGCATTATTAAGGATTACTCAAAAACTACTGGTCAGATCTCGAACAAAATTTTATGGGACCACATGAGAAGCAAACCTTTCAAATAAAACTAAAAAGAATCATCAAAATCGGTTCACCTAGAAAAAAGTTCTGAGGTAACACATAAAAAATACAGTCGGATTGAGAACCTCCTGTTTTTTGAAGTCGGTTGAAAATACTAATTAATGCCTAAATCAAAATTAAATTTTTTTTGCATGTCAAGATTCCAACGTTTTGTCGCATCAAATCGTATCTAACATTCATATTGAACATATCAATGATATATAAAAAGCACATTGTCAGAAAGATAAATGATTGTTGAACTTATTTTTATTTATTTTTTTTGTTAGAAAAATCAAATTTAATAATCCTTCTGAAAATGCCAGCCTGAAAATAATTATTTGACTCTTCCTGTCATCTTTGGGTGTAAGTATATGAACAGTGATGATTTAAGATAGTAGACAGTTTTTTGTTTTCCAATTATTACGTTCAAGGTGCCTCAGGGCACGTTGCGGATTGTACTCGTACAGACTTGTACTCACAACGAGACCTTGGACCGTACAACCCTCTACGTGCCCTTAAGCAGTGGCAGTTGACAGACTTATAGACTTTTCTTTCTGACCCTATTACAGTTATACTCGTGATTCTGTAAAAATATTTGGACTCGCGTTCTTTTCTAGTTTTCATATTTATTTTTTATGATATAATACATGTTTAAGAATTTATTTCAACAATTCAAAATATGACATGTCTCGTGAATTGTAATATTAAGATGTGGTTTGATTTTATTATTAGGCGGCTTTACTTATAATCGCTTATAATAAGTAAAGCCGCCTAGGCTTTACTTATAATCGCTTCTTAAAATTAATTATTACACGTTGTATACATATATCTTAAGCGTTGTAGAGTCACGCTGCAGCTATATTATAGTTGCAGCACGAATTGGTTCCTTTAAACTGGGAAGGAATACACTCTTACCTAATACTAGCGTAAAATAACACCCTAATGCTACTGTGTATCGTATGGTGTATAGAACCGGAAACCTTTTTGTTAGTAACGAAGCGTTTTTATTTCTCAGGGGTGACAACGCATCAGCCTTTGATTTTTAATCGCAGGTAGATTTAGATGTCTATGGGCCACAGAATTCACTTATTATCAGGTAAACTGTGTGCTTGTTTATCACCCTTATTCTTTAAAGAAATACTATATGTAAGTACCTGTTTTTTTGTTATTTATTGAAGAGAGGCAGAGAGAGGGAGAGAGAAAGAGGGAGGACAATTTCAAGCATTTCTTAAACTAATGTAGAGTTTTAAGAGTATGGCCGATTGGTGATTGATCTTGCAGTTGTCCATGCGAGTGATGTATATGTTAATTTTTAGTGATAAGAACAGTCGTCAGTTTATTGTGTTCTTTTACGACATCAGCAGCTTAGATAAATTGCGCTTTTACCGCCAATCGATCTCCTACGCCATTTCCCACTTCATCATTTATTCATTCACACATTTGTGCACATTTACAAATGGTATCGTTTTATGAACGTTTATAAATTTTCTTTATATATTTTTTGATGCGCTTGTAAAAATAATAAGAAATAATGGTTTAGACATAACAATTTCCCTCAAAATTTTAATCGCATAGTAACATTAATATACACAATTTAACCAAGTTAATTTTGCAAAGGAATGTTGATTAGTTTAAATGCTACAATTTAATTTGAAATTTTTATCGATACAAATAGTTTTTTTTTTAGTTTTTAGCTGCATTAATTAAACAGTGATTGGGAAGGGTATTTTGAAATGATGATTTACATATGTAGGCAAAAAGTATATGTTAGATATATACCTCTAAATAATTACCTGATTTACCCAAAAAAATAGAAATTATAATCCTGCGATAAATTAAGATGGATAAGACGAGTTTATTAAAAAAAGAGAAATAAAACAAAGAGTATAGGAAAAATATGTAATAATATAAGAAACTTACCCAGACAATGAAGCAGAATTAGAAATCGGAGGGCTGTTGGACTCGAAGCCTTCTTTTGCCTTCTCGTTTGCCAGCTGCATCTTCAACTGGTGCCCGAAGCAAGCTAGATCTTCTCTAAAAGTGTCGGAACCGGGAGTTGTAGGTTTCCCGTCATCGCCTGTAGCCATCCCCTCAGCATCACTCTGCAAAGGAGCTTGCTCCGACTCTTCCTCAGTATTGTAGATCTTAAAATACGCAAACGTCAAGTATATCACAGAAATTATGAAGGATGGTATCGGTATGGCCATAGCATACACTAGATTTAAAGTATTCTGCCACATATCCAAGTCTGTTATCACCAGACCTGGATCCACGCGGCTGTAGTAACAAGTATAGTTGTTACCTAATGGTCTATACTTGCCATAAAATACGGTACAGTTTAGAATTGGTGGGTAGCCGCAACCCTTTACATTAGGGAAGAGCCGAGCCCCAGTGAAGTACCATTCGGAATCGTTTCCTTGTAAGCCCGTCGGTATTGCATCGGGTAGTTCTTGGTCATCCATTTCAGGATAATTCTTATCGATTGGCGCTTCGTAATTGTTTTCGTAATCGTAGTCCTTTCTTAAAGACCTCTCAGCCCGAATTAAGTTCTCGAATTCAGTGGACGTTATATTCGGATACTCACCGAGCTTGTAGTTAACACGTATCTGTGTGCACTCGAAAAGGTCTTTTGTGCAGCCTTCTCTGCAGGATGCCCATGTACAGTTACTCGCTCCAACCAAATGCTTAACTTGAGTGGTGACACATAACGCCCCGACTGGATCGAATTGCATGAATATGGTGGTGAAGGCCGGCTCGATCACGAAAGGTACTAAAAAGAGGAACGCGAAGAGACTAAAAGTGGCAAGAAGGACGAAAGTCGCTGTCGTGTAGAACAGAAGTTTCTCGAGGAACGTAGGGGGGATCGGTAGTTTTTCTTCCTCGGCCATGTTGGCGTGGACTCGCTAGAAGCGACCATATCGCTTGTTTCAGCTCGGCTGTATCATTTCATGTATATTTGTATCAGTCTTTTAGCACAAATGTTTTATTAATTTATTTCAAATTGAATTCGCGACTACTTATTTACATTTTTATCCGTAGCTTGTAGTTTTTTCAGCACATACTCGGTTTTACAAACTGAAAAAAATATTATGAACTTTACCTTTTGCTTCGTACGTTATTTACTTACATATTATACATACATCGTTACGTTTTCATTCATTCTTACCCGCACCAACGACATTGTAACTTGTGATGTGTGGAGCTTATTTACTACGTGCTCGGTGGCTAATCATTATTAGGTAAACAACATCTGTAAGAATACATATAAATACTCACGCCTGTCACCCAATGGGGTAGGCAGAGACTATGGACTTCCATTTGGCACGATCCTGACACACCTCTCTCGCTCATCGGTTAAAGGTACTTTTAAATTTGCCCATTTTCAATATATCGCTCTTCTCTTATCACACAATTTCTCACCCTGTCATTCAGATTTAGTCCTAACATACTCCTTAATGACCGCATTTCTACAGCATTTATTCTACTCTCGTGCTTCTTCTGCCACACCCAACTTTTTGTAAAAAATTTCAAATATATCGAGGTCATAATGTGAACTCAGCAAACACGTATTGAGAAAATTGGGAAAGACTAATACTGCGGTTATATCCTATGTATGCGTAAGAGGTCTTTCTGGCATTTACCTTAGTCACCTCTTATGGCACCCGCGGAACAAAATATGGCAGTGAAAGTTCTTACGCCGCTACCGCACAAAATTAAGTATAATTTTACCTAAACTTAAAAAAAATAGAAACCTTTGCGAAACTAAGGACTGATTGTTCAATTGTCAGATAGGGGATTTTTAATTTTCAATTTAAGTTTTAACTTTTCTTGATGTACAATAAAGATTATTGTATTGTATTGTATTGTATTTCCCTGGCCAGACATCAACATGGAAAAAATCTCTCCTTCTAAAATTTTGTTAGCGTATAAATGCATTGAAGTCTGCAGTCGGTGAACATGTTCAAGCTCACCCCCATTTAATAGACTACTAATTCTCGCAAAAGAGCACCGATTTCATGTACATGACGATATGGGGTTGAAGATTTTCTTTCACCACCCTACACGATTACACGGCGTTGATAGTATATTATGTCATAATAATATATTATGGTTGTTGTACGAGTGGGTCTCAACCAGGGTAGGACCACTCTCTCACAGAATATCAGCGTAAATAGAAGTTGAATGTTGCTAGAGACCCTTTTTACTGGAAACGATTCCATCTTGGTCCTCGGGGTTGACAACGCATTTGGTTTCTTAATCGAGAAGAAATATAGATGTCTATGAGCCGCAGCATCCACTTACCATCAGGTGGATTGTGTATCGTTTGTCACCCTCATACTATTAAATATATAAATTACCCAGACGGGTGACGGGTAGTTGTTTATAAGGTGCTAGATGCGGTAGGGCCATGTTGCAGCTATATTACTAGAAGAGTTGTAGCACGAATGTGTCGGCTCGACCGGGGAAGGACCACGCTCTCACAGAATACCAGCGTAAAATAGCAGCTTAACACTGCTGTGTTACGTATGGTGAGTGTAGAGAACCAGAGACCCTTTTTACTGGAAAAAAGGCATTCCATCTTAGTCCTCACGGGTGACAACGCATCTGCATTTTGATTGGCAAATGAGGAAAGATGTAGATATCTATGGGCCACAGCAACCGCTTACAGGTGGACTGTGTACTCGTTTGTCACACTATCCTATAAAAAAAAGATATTTGGTACTACAGTCGGCTTGCCCAGCAAATCCTTTCTATAATGCAAGAGCTCGATGACAAATAGTAGCATATTTACCGACTTCAAAAAGGAGACGGTACTCAATTCGACTGTATGTTTTTTTATGTGTCTCACCTCATAACTTTTTTCTGGGTGAACCGATTTCGATGATTCTTTTTTTATTTGAAAGCTGGTGCTTCTCATATGGTCCCATATAAATTTGATCAAGGTCTGACCAATTTATTTTGAATTATTCTTAATAATTTATATAGAAGTCGATTGTACAAAATTTTTAATTTTAAATTATTATAACTATCGGTCGGCTTGAGCGAAATTCAATGTGAGGGACATAAATTCTCTCAAAAAACATCCGGGACATTACAATCCTTGTAATGCATGAATATATGCTCAAGCACAAGATCAATTTCTATTCCCGCAATCTCATAGTCCGATGGGACGACAATCTGTCACAATTGGAGAGATTAGGCGCAACACCAACGGCTTTACGTGCTTTCCGAGACACGGCGGTGATAGAAAAACCCAATAATTGATTTTCGCCCGACCCGCGATTCGAATCCGGTACCGGTACCTCATGATTAGCAATTACGTTTACGATTACTAGACCAGTGAGAACGAAAATCGAGGAAGGATTGTTATAAACTCATAGACTGTTGATTACAACGATGATGTGCTATTCAGGCTGCTTCTTAATTTCTTCTACGAGGGCGTCACTGAAAGATTTTAGAACTGGTCACTTGTAAACGATATAATTAAAAAATAAGCCCAAATTTTGAAAATGAAACTCTGCCAATATTATTGCATATGTATTTTATTAATTTGTCATTTTTTTACGATTTGGCGGCAAATTGAATATTGTCTATGTCACGTCAGCATGAATTTAACGTGAGAAAAGAATATCGGTCAAATGCGACCTGACCAAAATATGAAACGACCACCAATGATTGATACGTGAAGAAATAGTAACTTAGGTGTATATTAAATTACGGGGTCCAACTTATTTTATTGGAGCCGGTAAAATAATTTAGTTTTGTAATGAAAAACCTGATTTCCTTACTACTTTTTACAGGTTTTGAAAGCATCTAAACACATCCCGTTTTTATCTGTGGTACATGTTCCTTTATTACACTAAAGTGACACTTCCATTATGCGTTTACTTTTTTAATACTAGATTTTATTGTAGGTTTTTTATTTATTTTATGGTGTCAATAATATCATTTTTAGAAGGTGATATCGAAAGTATTCCAAAATAAGTTGCAAATTATAGGTTGACAGTAAATATAGAATGCACTAATACTTAGAACGGAATGTATTATGAGTCTCTATGCAGTCTGTGATATTATGACACGAGAGCTGTCAAAGCGTTAGCTAGCTTGCTACATGTATATTTATCTATGGCGTTAGCAAAAGTCAAAGCACCTGTGTCTTAGATACTTATAGTTATTGATTCATTTTTGTGGTTTTCGCCAATGACTTGTTTTATTTAGTTATGTATATATTACTGCATAGTTTTCATATTAATTGTTTTAGCTGAGGTTGTAGTCATACCTGCAGTCATGGCTACATCATAACCTCAAAAGTGACGAAATACATAAGTGTAACATTGGATTTATATTGTGCCCAGGGCAAATGGATTAGTCCATACACTAGTCATGTTCGCGATATTTTATTGTCAGGTCACAGCATGTATGGGCCGTGTCCGATTTTCTTTACCTACAATGATTTTTTATGACTTTCGATGTTATTTAAGTCAACAAGAAAGTTATGATAGACTTCTATTGGCCTTTCACGATGAAGCCCCATCTCGTGCCATTATTGACAACTGGTTTAATGAGTTTAAACGTGGTCGCACTAATCTCACTGAATCTGCGTGAGGGACGGCCTTCGACGGCGACGACTGAAGATAACATTAATGTTGTACGGCGTATGATAGAGACTGACTAAAGAGTGACTTACTCGTACAGCCCACAAAAGTCCACCACTAAACATGGGTCCCTTCGCAATGCCAGTCCTTGAGTAAAATAATCCTTTTTAAATCTTTGTTCATACAGCTATCTATCAGAAGCCGTATTTTTTTCGCTTTTCCCAAAGTCGCCTCTTAAGATACCCACGGGATGAAATGTAAAGTTGGATTCTCCTACTCCACACGGCTACTTAAACTATATCGTTCAAACAAATATGCATAGTACACAGGATAAATCACACATTTCTAGTCCTGTAATACGTAATTGCGCTCAGCGACCGTTTATCATTGAAATTGATCCAGGGGAGCATAAATCTCTACTCGTTACATGGAAATAATGAGCCGTAAACCTCCACTTAAATATTATTTATATACTATTCCAACAGAACCGTACTTGTTCACGGGAAGGGAGGGAAGGAGGGAAATGGGGTTTGGAGTGTTTGAAGTACGCGAGTGTTCGAAGTGTATTTGAATCCCCGCCGACACCACTGATTAATATTTGCGATTAAAGTATGTACTGATTTACTGATATTTTTTTCCTTGTTAATTTTACTATTGTTAACAAAATAAGATGTTTTTCTTGTCACATTCATTATAAGTCTTCGTAATTTTTACACGAAATATTCACCTTAAAATGACATGTATAAACCAAAGACATTTAATTAATAGTAGATATATTTAAATCTCTTTGGTATAAACATTCCATGTTCTAAATCAAATGGGGAATGTGTTTATGCAAAATTGTGAAGATTCACCTTTTTTATATATTACGTTTTCACCTTTTTATGTATTTATGAGAATGGCTGTATTTTGAATGACGATGTTTCGAGTATAAAGAGATGAAAGTAATACACTGAAAGACATTGAGTTATATGTACTACGTACTAGAGAAGCCATTCCGAACATTGACTATGTTCAACGGAACTGTAGTGCAATCCACTACAAACTAAATATTGCGTAAATTGAAGATTTGTGAATTCCATAAAATAATTATTATTGCATTTTATTTAGAAATATGTTTGTTTAGATTAAATTGAGATTTTTTATATTAAATTCTTATATTTATTTTATATTAATATCTTATTTTATATTAAATTAAAGTCTTCGCGCATGCGCGACTACTACTCCCGCGCATGCGCGAAGACATAGAGTAGGACACAATTTTTGTTTGGAATGGCTTCTCTAGTACGTAG